GGCCCATGGCCGGGTCCCCACGCGCCCAGGGGGAGCCTCGCCGGCCGTGCCGCTGCGCCGGCCCCGGAGGAAGCGGAGAGACGCCGGCTCCACGTCGGTCGAGCAGCTCGGGACCTTGGGCAGGCTGCAGTGGCGCCCCGGGAGAACTTGAGGCGGCGGACGCGGGCTCCGAGCCGCTCCCCGGACGCCGGCCGTTAGAAAGCGCGCACCGAAAGACCCGTCCGCCCCCCGGGCGAGGCCACTCAGAGCCCGCCCGGCGCGGGCCCTGGGCGCGAGCGGAGGCTGGCTTCCAGGCCGCGCCGAGGTCCGTCAGGGCAGCTCCCGGTGCGGAGACACGGCCGGCCCCCGCGCAGGAGTAACGGCCGTAACGGAAGCGCAAACGGGAGGGGGCTGGAGGCCAGAGCCCAGGGGCGGGGCGGGCCGCAGGGCCGGCTCCCTCGCGCACTCGAACGGCTACACCGTCGCCGCCACCTCCGCCGCCTCAGACCGCGGGCGCTTCGTTGTCACGAGCCGGAGGGAGGGGGAAGGAGCCGGGAGTCTCCGGGCTCCGGCGCGCCGAGACCGCGGCACCCGGGTCACGTGCCGCTCGGCCGGCCAATGAAATCCTGCGGGCGCGGTGACGTCAGGGCAGCGGCGTGGCCGGTGACAGCCGGCCCCCGTCACGTGGCCGGGCGCACTCCAATGGGCGGCGCCGGGGCGACCTGATGTTCCCGGCGGCCCGTGCGTCGGCGGTGGTTGGGTGGTAAGATGGCGGCTGTGAGTCTGCGGCTCGGCGATTTGGTGTGGTGAGTCCGGGCGGCCAGGGCTAAGCGAGGTGCGCCGGGGAGCTCCCCCGCTGGGCGCGGGGTTCGCGACCAGCCCCGGAGCTGCCTTTCTATGCGCTCCAGGCTGCGGAGAGAGGGCGAGACGAGGTGCCGGCGCTGGGAGCGACGCCGGGCGGAAGGGGCAGCCCGGCCCCGGGGGACTGAGGGCGAGAGTGGCCGCGGCGGGCCGGGCTCTGAGCCCCAGGGCCGCCCGGGGGAGGGCTTCGCTCCGCACCTGCACGCCGGCGGCCACCGTGAAGGGAGTCTCCGGCGCCGCACAGCTCCCGCGGACGCCGGGTCCTTGGGGTCTTCCTGAGGCTCCCCAGAAAGCGGGAGAGCCGGGGAGCCCGCGGGGCCATCTCGCCTGGGCAAGCCCGTCAAAACTCGCGTTGCGATGGAACCGACCTGTGCGGGCGGCTTGGCTGGGGGTGTCGAAACCGGACTGCTGGCGCTGCCCCGCGAAGAAATGGAAGGGAGACTTCTCCTTTACAGCCGAAGGCTTGGCAGTGACCAGTGCCTTCTTGGGTGCCTCTCGTGGTCTGCTTCTGTGTGCCAGACAACCGCCCGAACCAAGACTGACTGTCGCCGCTTCCCTGGAGCGACGTAGCTCACTTCTCGACCCAGAGGAGGGTTTCCGTTAGCATTTGTCAAAGCCGGGCTGGTCTCACGGTGAATTAAACCAGACTTTGTAAGGGGAAGTCTGTGTTTACAGAGCAAACTACCCCCCAGCCCCCGCCAAGGAAGGCTCTAGACAAGTGACTCTTGATTGGTTTTGTTGTTCTGTATTCCTTGTCACCAAAAGAATGCACATACCTTATGCACTTTTGTATTCCATTTCTGAAGAGTTTGGGGCTCCTGGGCCCAGCTGTGGAAGCCAGATTAAGAACTCCTGTTTGCCAGCTTTTGTTTTGGCACTTGAGGTTGCAGGTGGAGAGTTAGGAAAATAAATTTCATGTTGAGTGGGTTGAAGGAGATGGACTGGCTTTTCCAGGGCAAATGCTGACTGTGTGTTTTCTCTAGGGGGAAACTCGGCCGGTATCCTCCTTGGCCAGGAAAGGTGAGTGTCTTGCTACAAATGGAAGAGATCTGAAGTTGAGTTTGAGAAGGTGGAGAATGTAAGATTCACTCCCCTCAATTTCTGGCATTTAGTTAAACTGGACCTATTTAAATAAGTTTTTCTTTCTCTACTCTCCGTTTGTTTAGAAAAGACAATATAATATAAACCAGGTCATTTAATCTGCAGTGAGTGCTAATCTCTTGAATCAGAGATGGTTTTGGTGAAGTTTTTTAATCCTGGAAATCAATTCTAATTTGAATTTAGCTTTACACTTAAATGTAACAAAAGGAGAAGAAAATAAATTCTCCAGGAAGAGAGGAATCTAAATGTAGGTTAGTGAAAAGTCAAAGTATTTTTGTCCCAACTAAGTTTAAATCTTCTTTCCATGTTACCATATGTGCTGCTCCAGTGCATCTTTGCAGAAGTTGGCATTCCAGATTTTGCATGAGGCGATCCGTCATAGCTTTCCAAATGTTCTGTTTTTATATTCTTGCTAGGAGCCCAGGAAATGTCTTTAGACTGTCTCTTTACAATATGGCATTTTCATTGCCTCAGTTCTTCGTTGTCATCATTACCTGTCTCAACTCTTCCTGCACAATTTTTTTTTTAATTGAAGCATAATTGACATACAATGTCGTAGTAGTTTTTAGGTGTACAACATATTGATTCAGTAATTCTATACATTACCCAGTACTTACCACGGTAAGAGTAGTCACCACCTAACATCATTACTTCACTGAAGTATATGTAAAAGTGTTCTCTGCATTTCTTCAGTGATGACAGGGTCACGTGGTTGGGGGAGTTGATGTTGATCTTATGCTTTTAAAACAGAGCCATTGCAGTAGAAGGGATATTCTACCTACTGAACACTGCTACATGGTAGATGTAGGGAACTTCTAGAATATTTGCACATTTCCACACATCTCAGTAGAAAAGTGCCAGACTTGGACATGTACTGCCTGGGTTCTATTTAAGCCTGTTCCTTTTGTTTTATTTCATTTTTTTTCTTACTAACTTAGAAGTGTGGAAAAACCTTTCCCCCCCCTTTACTCCCCAGATTGTTAATCCACCCAAAGACTTGAAGAAACCGCGTGGAAAGAAATGCTTCTTTGTGAAGTTTTTTGGAACAGAAGATCAGTGAGTAGTGCTCATCAAGAGTTTCACTTTCCCTTTGGGCGTTGCCCTGGATCTGAGCTGCTTGTGAGAATATTCTAAGGACCCTAGTTCATTTTTACTGTAGTCTGTCAGGCATATTGTTCTGGCTTTATACCTAAATAAAAGGTACTATTCTTAGCTTATAGAAATTGTCCTGGGGCCAATAACAACTTCAGTCAAGTGAGAAATAGGACTCACTGTCTTCTAAATATGATAATCACAATAAGATTATTTCTCACATCTCTTTATCGAATCCCATAGGTAGGTCTTTTTATTAAGGCCATGTTTGGTTCTCTTTTAATGGCTGGTTATCATTGTGGTTCATGTATGAGGTTTACAGTGAAATCAGAACCATTCATTTGAGATTCTGTGATAGGCCATGTAGGTCACAGTGAGGAGGAGAATGTGTATTTACCTGAGTTTCCAGTGATTTGTTCAGCTTTCTTGTTATTACATGGATTTGATTACCTGGGTGTAGCTAGATGGTTTAAGTATTTGCATTTCTACTTACGATTTTTAGAGAAAAATGTAGTCTGGGGTTTGAAAAATTTGAGTTTTCTGAGGAATCTAATATCAATGGTTAAAATATATGTTCCTATAAAGTGATATATGATATTCTATAGCAAAATCTCTTATAAACAGTGTTCTTCACTCATTCAGGAGTTTATATGCCAGAGTGCTCAGCCTGGATTAGAGGGGTTTTTTTGTTTGTTTTGTTTTTGTTTTTTAAAGATTTTATTATTTATTTGACAGAGAGAAAGAGACCGAGCATGCACAAGGGAGCACAAGCAGGGGGAGAGGGAGAAGGAGAAGCAGGCTCCCCACTGAGCAGAGAGCCTGATATGGGGCTCCATCCCAGAACCCTGGGATAATGACCTGAGCTGAAGGAGACACTTAATGGACTGAGCCACTCAGGCACCCCCTGGGTTAGAGTTTAAATGGCATGTTTATCTTCACCATGCAGGTATACCAATGTACCCAGTTCTCTGTCACAAAACAACTTAGCAGCCTTTTGATGACAGTACTCAAGGGAGTCACTGGCCCAGAGCTGTGAGAGGCAGAGACACTCTGGAAGCTGAATGTTCTGGTAATGCCACTGACTTTACAAGAAAGATTGTCCTGGTATATAACACAAGTGCTAATTGTACAGCCACACTTCGAATTGTTGACACCAAAAGGAACTTCCAGAGAAAAGCAAATGTTGTGGTCCTTGCCTTTCAGGAATTCAGGTGACAAGACATAAACAGTTCAGATGGGAATAAGTGCAGAGTAAGTGATACAGGTGACTATTAAAGCGTTCTAGAACAAGGAGAGATCAGTGGAGAACAGTCAGGTCATAGAAGGGTGATGGAAGGGGTGCCTGGGTGGCTCAGTCGTTAAACATCTGCCTTCGGCTCAGGTCATGATCCCAGGGTCCTGGGATCGAGCCCCACATTGGGCTCCCTGCTCAGCAGGAAGCCTGCTTCTCCCTCTCCCACTCCCTCTCCTGTATTCCTGTTCTTGCTGTGCCTCTCTCTGTCAAATAAATAAATAATCTTTTAAAAAGGTGGGGGAGGCGCCTGGGTGGCTCAGTCGTTAAGCGTCTGCCTTCAGCTCAGGTCATCATCCCAGGGTCCTGGGATCGAGCTCCACATCAAAAAAAAAAAAAAAGGAAGAAGAAGGGTGACGGAAGAGATGGAGTTAGAATCTACCTCTGGAGGACAGATAGAATTTGAATAGACAGGAAGAAGAAGGGCAGTGCAGGCAGTGGGAATACTGTGAGCAACTGGGTGTTAAGTTGGATGCGTGGGCAGAGAGAGGCTCCCCACCTGGGGTAAAGAACTGTGCTTGAGAATAACAGGCAATATGGTTGACCCAATTTGGTTAGCTAAACAAAGATGTACAAGTCTAAAACAAAAGTGGAAACTCTTGGGAAGTAGGGGCTTGATCAGATTACAGGAGGCCTGAAAGCCATTGTGTTCTTATAATTTAAAAAAATGCCGGAAGGTCAGAAGAGTAAACGGATGCCTATGTATAAAAAATACTACAGGTGAGACAGGAAATTGGAGTTGAGTGCATTTCAGCACTTAATCAGGTACACAAGTGAAGCCAATGAAAGGGATGCACTTATTGAACACAAAAATAACCTAATGGTGTTAGTAGTGGTGGTGGTGGTGATGTGATTTCTAACTAAAATTCTTTGAGGGGATTCATAAGCAAGTGGATTTTGGGCAACTGTTAGATATAATATCTTTAAGCTTATAAAACTCCCTTGGTAGAATTCCACATAAAAACTTATTAAAAAACAAGTTGTCACAGGACCAACACATTATCTTTTGTGGCTAGGCGGTTGACAATGAAAGGAAATGGGTAAGGATCTCCAAGCACTTCTCTGAAGGGAGAAGGGTTCTTAGTGATCAGTGATCAGCAGACATTATTTACTATCTTTAAATTATCTGAAGGTGAAGTATCCAGGGAATTACTTTGAGGAAAGAACTCTGGATTTAATGCTGGCCTGCTGTGCATTCAGATGCCATCTCACTGCCCTACAATTTGGGCAAGCTGTTTTCACCTTTCTAAGCCTTTGTGTCCTTGCCCACATGTGGGATGATGTTCCCTACCTCGTAGTTATGCAGGAGAAATAGTGCCACTTGTTCGTATGGTGGTGTGGTATACAGCAGGGGTTCAGTAAACTTCAGGTGGACATATATATATATTACAAGGGAGAGAATAGCTGGTAAGAAGCAGGTGGCTTTAAATAAGGGAAACTTAGGATTTGTTTGAAAAAGGAAGGCATTTGTATTGGAAATTCCTAAAGACTTCAGCCAGGTCTGTTTTTTTGTTTTATTTTGCTTTTTTGTTTTTTAAGATTTTATTTATTTATTTGAGTACAAGCAGGGAGGAGAGGGAGAAGCAGGCTCCCCACTGAGTGGGGAGCCAGACACGGGGCTTGATCCCAGGACTCTGGGATCATGACCTGAGCCCAAGGCAGACGCTTAACTGATTGAGCCACCCAGGGGCCCCCAGGTCTTTTCTTTTGACCAAAAAGGCTTCAAACACAAAACAGTAAATTGTTCCACGTTTTTTTTTTTTTTCAATTGTTCTATCTTTATGGAAAAACTATGCTGTGCCTTGCCAGGAGTGCTATGTGCAGTTGAGTCCATGCTCCCAAAGGGATCCGATGGAACTAATTAAGATCAGAAAAGGGGACCAAGTCAGTCAAAGAGTAGGATTCTTTAATGTGAAAAAGTAAAGTCTGAAAAAGAGCACAATCAGAATTGATGAAATGCTGAATGACCCTAAGGAGGTAAACACTGACCTGTTCATAAATCATCAGACATTTCCGATAGCGGCACTGTGAGTAGAACAAATGCTGTGGTGACCAAGTTTAGGGCATGCATAAGAAGTACTGTAGGAAACAGACTTTTGAGAAGCGCTTTAGATGGGAGTACAAGTGGACTTTTAGAGATGAGTACTGCTTTGTGAAGGGTAAGGCTATAGGTGGTTCCAGAAGAAACTGGGCTCTACCTCACCTTTGATGCTTGATGTAAGGGAGAGGGGCATATGCTCCTTGCACATGTTGGTTACAAGGCTCTGACTTTGGTGGATAGGGCCTGACCCCATGGGGCTGCTCCTGAATTTCTGAGCAATATAGGATTCAGTCAGAGACGTTCCTTTTCGAAACTGAACACTATGTATGGGGGAAAATATTTATAAATAAGATTTCTTTAATATTAGCAGGGATCTTTATTAAAGAGTGAAAAGGGTAGTTCCTTAAGATAAAGAATTCAGTGGCTCAGTCAGTTAAGCCCAGGTCATGATCCGAGCACGGAGCCTGTTTCTCCCTTTCCCCGACTTGTACTCTCTCTCTCTAATAAATAAATAAAATCTTAAAAAAAAAAAGAAAGATAAAGATTTCAGTCTTCGAGAAAACTAGTTTTTCTCTCTCCCTTCCTCTGTCAAAACATCTGACAAATTGTGTTGATGTTCTGTTAGGAAGAGAGAAGACCAGACCTTCCTAACCGATGTCCTGTCCAGCCGACCCTGGAAGGGGAAGGACTTAGTAAGATGGCTGGATTCAGCTGTCTGAGCCTGGATGGCCAGTATGGGGGTTACTTATGGTTGTTTTCTATTTCATGGAGATACAAAGGGAAAAATAACTTTAGCATAACTTGGACTACTCTGCCAGGTGACCCCACCCACAGTTGTGGTCTCAGGCACATGAGAGCTCACCTTGGACAGGGAGTTGCCCATCAGAATAGAAACTGAGCTCAGGGTTTGAAGTTTTCATCAGTGGCCATGGATGGCAGAATGGAGGGAGCTCATTTAGTCTGTGGGTGTTCAAAAACGCTCAGAGACAAATGGTTCAAGAGAACACTACTGGCAAAAGAGGGTAGATCCCAAATGACCACCTGAGAGTTTCTGTAGCAGTCTTCATACCTGATCCTACAACAGCCATTTCGGGAAATGGATAGGATATTTGTTCTGGTTCTCACTTTTTAACAGATTTGTACACTGAGAGGCAGATTTGTGGAGTTCAGTGATAGAATGTCCAGGATCCCAACCTGAGATACTTTTTTCATCAAGGCAGATATAAGGTATGAAGTGAGTACTAAAGTAACTCTTGGAGAAGAACCTGTAGCTTGTAATTACAAGCAGATTGGAGCCATCCAAGCATCCCTCTTTCTTTTCGCCTGGCACCTGATCGCCCTGCTTTCCCTACATCCGACACTGTGCAATAGCTGGAGAACAGAGCCAAATGGATGGTGAGCGCGCTGCTATTTGGACTGAGCCAGCAATGTCCCTCTGCCAGGGCTGGACAATACCTGTCCTAGAGAGCACTGAGTAGATTTTCCTCTCCCAGCACCAGCATCCATCCTACGGGTGACTCCCCTCATGGCTGAGACAGTGGACTCCAGGAGCAGGTGTGTCATGCACCAGAATTAAAGAATCTGGCACAAAAGAAGCAGCTGACCATATTGGCATAGACAGCGCAGTTTGAA